GACCAGGATGGACAGGATTAGGAATGAGCACATCAGAGGGACAGCTCAGGTCTTCTGTTTTGGGGACAAGGTCAGAGAGGCCAGATTGAGATGGTTTGGACATGTGCAGAGGAGGGATAGTGGTTATATTGGTAGAAGGATGTTGGAGATGGAGCTGCCAGGCAAGAGGTCAAGAGGAAGGCCAAAGAGGAGATATATGGATGTGCTAAAAGAGGACATGAAGTTTGTTGGGGTGAGAGTAGAGGATGCAGAGGATAGAGTTAGGTGGAAACAGATGATTCGCTGTGGCGACCCCTAACGGGAACAGCCGAAAGAAGAAGAAGAAGAAGCACTCCAACCGGTCTTGCCACACTATGGACATGGGATTAATGACTTCCATTCAACTATAAATTTTTCTCTCGTGAGCACAAGATAGCCCATTCAAACCACGTGTTGTCTCGAACCACTTCCAGAACTTCTACACGCAGCGAGACTTCAAACGTCATCGATGACGTCACATGCAAACAATACAAGTCCCGATACGCGCTTCGCTAAACACTTCTTGGATTTCTGGACACCCGCTGCGAAGAATCATATTACGTCCCATCACTAGTAGAAGGTCCATTTCCAGACTTGCATCAGCAGTACTGTCATTTCTGTAAAATGGTATGTATGTTGTACTATTTTGGAGTATGTAGCTATTTTATCATCCAGGTTACCAAAGCAACCACACTGCACAGATTTTCATTGAAGTGTCTTTTTATAAGTTGAGTTAGAAAAAGTGATGTGAGGCTGAAACAGTGTGGTTTCAATATGGTTCAAGTGTAACGAGTGTCTACAGTATCATGGTTAGGTTGAAAGACATAATGTAGGTATAGGCCCCGTCTCAACGTTCCAGTCTGCGGCCCAAACAACGAGGAAAGGACTGATAGTGATGTCCGTTAATTCTCAGTCATTCCGGTTGTACTACGAAAAAAACTTGAAAAAAGTATCTCGACCTAGTTTTAGGTAGAAGAGGTTTCACCTCTCATCCAAGGGGCTTCATCAGCAGGAGGTATTTATCCCACTACGTGGTGTTTCAGTCCTCCAACGGCCAACATGTCCGTTAGTGGACTAACTGTTGACCGTTGGCCCCTAACGGACCCCTAACGACTCAGTAATAGTACATTGCTGCTGCATTACTGTTACACTGTCACACCTTACCTCACCGTATGCAATTACACAATCCTCTGAAAATTGTCATCATAATAAATACGTATGAATTGTTAGTGGTTACTGTTTTGAGCTACTAGCTCACTTTATTTTGTAACGCGATACAGTTGCTGCACTCTTTTAAGCTCCTCTACTGTTTTTACCATTCATCCTGTTTATATTGTCTATTTATTATCCTGTTTATATTGTTTAATTCCAGTTATTATTTATCTTCTTCTTTTGTATGAGCAGCTAACTCCATTTCGTTGTTTGTACCGTAGTGTGCATACAATGACAATAGTCTTTCATTTAATTTCAATTTCAGACCAAAGAAAGGTAGACCATACCCACTGGATGGCAAAAAAATGGCGATAAAGTAAAACTACATAAGCTAAAGTGTGTCAAACTTTAGGCCTAATTCAAATAATTTCATATTTTTCGTGTCCAATGTACTTACGGGAACAATTTCACCAATCCTCCTGTTAAAGATGTAGCCTGTCAGCCTGACATTAAAATGTGTTTAAGAAGTGCAGAATGGAACATTGTGAGACCATTATTTCAAAGTTATGAACGTCCAACGTTGTTTTGTTTGTCTGTCAGCTTAATTCTGCTAATGTGAATCATAAACGTGATTATGTTTTAAGGTTATGCTTTACTACCGCTTCTGACTTTTATTATCGTTATCAAGTATTCATTAAAAAAATATGGAGTGAAATGAAGAAAAAATACAAAATATTGTGAACTGGCTGTATCGACTGAATTTTCACTTTTTACAGGGAACCATTTTGGGTTGATCACTGTTTTGTACACAGCTTGTTTCTGCTGTTTCAATATTATGCTAAATATCAGAAACGATGTGTGCAGAATTTTTCAATATTATGCTAAATATCAGAAACTAGTCACGATGTGTGCAGAATGAATTACAAATGTGTTTTTAACACTTGACCATACATAAAAATGGGTTTTAAAAGTGTTAAATGCATAACGTATCACAACAGACAATTATGACAAAAACCAAACAAACTAAATTCTCATAATGATTTTAGATAAAAGTAAAGAAAGTGTGCTAACCCTGCTTTGTCACCAACAGGGACACTGACTGATACATCAACAATGCTATAGGGGCTATAGTGGTAAGTGTGACCTTGTCTAGTAACTATGTCAATTATTCAAAAAACAATGTTAATATAACAAACATTAAAGCTTATTAAGTTTTTTTTAAACAGTTTTTAGGAACATCCATAAAAATGGAAAGCAGTTCCTCAGAGATGGGTGAGTATGAAATGTTGCATAATTGACACTGCATAAATTGTGCAGTGCAGTTCCTCCTGTATTAGATTGTGTTTTACTACACCAAGGCTCAAAATTCTGCATGCACCACAATATGAAAGTTACTATGTGCTTTGGCATGACTGCACTTCACAATGTACAATTATTCAATGCAATGTCACATATGTGGTTCCTAATACAATTGCAACAGACACGGACATTTCAACCCATAAATGTCAGTGCAGCTGAAAAGGGAAGATCAAAAAAGTTGAAGGGATGGTTCATCCAAATCACACACCTAACCAATAACCACACCTAAAAGTAAACAAATAGAAATTCTTCAGAGTAAAAAGTCAAAGATTCATTCACCTGCTGTTTAATCACCCTTTATTTAAAATTTTGTTCCACAGAATGGCAGCAACTGCCTTATCACAGCTGGACAGAATCTCATGTGAGCTCCTGGTTGAGATCCATTGGGATAAAAGAGAACTACATAAAAAAACTGGAGGAGCAGGAGGTGACAGGACCTGTTCTGAAAACGCTACAGAAGAAATTTCTCAGCACTACAGTTGGAATGAAAGGTGGCCAAAGTGAACATCTGCTGAAAGAAAGAGATGATCTTCTAAAGTCAGAACAGCAAAAACAAAAAAAAGAAAGTGATTCACATGATAAAGGTAGAGATGACAAAACAGAAAATGTGTTAAATTTAGTACAAGAACAAAAACTTTCTTCGCAGACACCATGTGACAGAACAGAGAGAGAGATTAATCCTACTGTATGCAGTGACAACTTAGCCTCTGCAGAAGTAGATGTATCTTTCTGTGACTATCGAAAATTTGATGAGGATGAAAAGAACTGCAGGTATGTGAAGCACAATGTGCTTCCTCCAGAGACAGGAATTGAAAACATGATTATTCCATGTCATGAATACAAATCACTGGAGGAGGCACACAAACTGGACTTGAAAAGGCTGAAATTAAAAGTAGGAATTGAAGTGTTAAGATTTGCATGTGCATGCATGAATATGAGAACCAATGGGACAATTCATTTTGGCATTATGGATAAAATGGGAAGTAATCACAAGCATGGGGAAATCATAGGAATACCTATCAAAAACAGAGAAGACTTTGTGGACGCATTAGACTACATTGAAAGATGCTTCGCCGGGTCAGATCAGCAATGTGATGCCAGGAAATGCATAAGAAACCCCCGATTTGTTGAGGTGCTGGACAAGAAAACTACTGAGAAAACATGGGTCATTGAATATGATGTTGTCCCAAAAGCAAGCATTGTAAAAGATAAGTTGTACTCAGTTTGTATCCCAAAATTCTCTCAGGTGGACAAGAAAGTCAAATGTGGAGACAAAGTTCCCTATTACAGAGTGGGAGCCAGCAGTCCACAGGTACCTGGTGATAAACTTGTTCATTTCATTCAAGGACTGACAGAGAAGGACCAAGAGAGAGAGGAGGCAGAAGCTTCAACCATTCAAATGGCTGAGGACTTCAGAGAGGATCAAAAGAGGAAACTCACCGTCCTCTTAACATGTGGAAAAACACACATGGACAACTCTCTGTTTTACATCCTTGTGACAAACAAATTTCAGTCAGTGCATCTCGACTGCATTGACTTCTTGGTTCCCATGAAGGTCTTCTGTGTGTTTGATTTCGACCCTGATTCAGAGTCATCTGGGCTTTGTGGTAAATATAAGGAGCAGAAGGCTGTAACACTTCATTTCCTCGATGACTATGGAAGGAACAGTAAGCCAGGAATTAACGACTTCATAAATTCTTTGCAGCTTTTTGAGAGAACAAGCTGGATTTTCTGCAATGGAAGAAACAACTTCCCTGGTGCAGAAGAAACATGTGATGAAAAAACCTGGATCAAAACAAGTAAAAAGAAAATGAAGGCGGCAGTGTCTGTCATCTGCAATGATATCCTTCCCAGGCGTTCATTTGTGGTCATCTTCCTGCTCATGTCTGAAGTTGAGCAGCCACTTGTTGAGGTTTTCCATGAATTCTATGCAGAAATGAATGGACATGACTATTTGGCAGTCATATCAGAGTCAAAGGAAAACTACAAAAAGTGGTCGAGTCTTGCCCAGGTGTCCTGTTCAATGTCTGCACTCAAAGATATCAGCATTGTAGAAATGCCACTGAGTCATGTGGACGCCACAGTGCAAAGCATTCAACTTTCAAAGAGTCAGCCCATGAAAAAATTACCAGTCCTAAATGGAGGCCTGTGCTTCCTAAGATCAGTTGAAGAGGCTAGGCTAGATTCTTTAGAAATCATCAGTGTCGACCAGTGTGATGATACAAATCTGGAGATCATGAGCAAGGATGAAATCCAGCATATTGAGAGCCACTTCTATCGAGGTGGAAAGATAAACTGGATCAACTTCTGGCTTGCTGACAGACACAGGTGTGGGGTTATCATAGAGAGGGATGCCTACAAAGACGCAAGCACAATCCTCAACAGTATTATTAATCGTAACAAAGCCATACGTCCCATTGAGAGTGTGAACATATACCACCAACCTGGCAGCGGTGGAAGTACAGTGGCACGACAGATACTCTGGAGTCAGAGGACAAAGTTACGATGTGCAGTTGTTAAACACTGTAAGGAAATCACAACTGTGTGTGAGCATGCGCTGAGACTGAGAGAACATGACGAGAAAGACAAAAACAACTGTCTGCCGGTGCTCCTGCTGTTGGAGGATTGCAAAGCAGATTACATAAGTGAACTCAGACGGGAACTAGGGAATGCCATTGCAACCAAAAAGCTACGTTCCTCTGTGCTGTGCTTTGTTCTACTGATCTGCAATAGGTCACATGATCCAGAACCAATGAGCAAAGCATCTCAAACAGTAGCAGTCACACATAAGCTGTCACCTAGAGAGAAGCCTTTGTTCTCCAAAAAGCTGGAGCAACTCCAACTGCAATTTCAACCAGAGTTCATCCTCACATTTGTGCTGATGAGCAAAGAGTTCGAGGAGAGCTACATTAAGAACTTTGTAAAAAATGTGCTAGAGAAAATTGATCATTCATCACCTGATACTCGCCTCATTAGATTTGTGGCTCTCCTGAATAGCTACGTTGAAGATTCATACCTATCTGTTTCCCGGTGTGAGGCATCTCTTGGCATAGCTACCTATGTGGAAAGAACTCAGAACCATGCATTTGTGGATCATCTCAGTGATGAAGCTAAGCTTATTTTCATCCACCTAAAAGAAGCTTCAACTCACATTTCATCAATACGGATTATTCACCCAAAGTTGGCACAGGAAATTCTGAGTCAGCTGTCTGTAGGTGTGCCTCAGAGTGACATTGCCATGGATCTCATCAGTGACAAGGTACTTATGAATCATAGGTTTGACAGAAATACGTTTCTGAATTTCATCAGAGCCCTTTTCATTAGACGAAACAAAAAGAGCAGAGGAGATCCTAAAGACACAGCCTTTTCACCTCTTGTTGAGCATGTCTGCACCAAAAGTGGTGGTCAGAAAGCTGTCGAGCTCATGGAGGCAGCTTACATAGCTTTGGGAAAAGAAGCTTTTGTGGCACAACAACTTGCCCGGCTGCTTTATACAAACTTGAGATTTGAAGAGGCCCTAAAGTGGGCAGAAGAAGCAAAAGCTCTTCTTCCATATGATACATTTGTCCTTGACACATTGGGACAAGTTTACAAGAGGTGGTTTTACCACTTGTATGACACCCTTGAGGAAAAAGAAACCTCACCTGAAGGAGGAATTGAAATTATAACCATTGCTCTCAAAGGAATTTCTGCCTTCCGGGCCTCTGAAAACACACCAAAGAAAGAGACTGTCAGCTTAAACAACTCATACTATGGGGAGGTAGATGTTGGCTGCAGGCTGCTAACATTCCTGTCAAGAACAAATGTTTTTTCAAACGATGCTGGAAAATCAGAGTTGATGCAGTATTTGTTAACAGACTACATACCAGCAGAGGTCAAAAAACCCTGGGAGAAGTTTCATCTGCAGTTGAAAGGGTTACAGAAGAGCTTGCACCATGCACTTGAGTGCATTTCTGAAGACCTTAGCTACTTTCAAACTGACATTAGTGAAATGGATGAAGAGCTTGATGCAAGAGATTCAGAACAACTACACAATCCTAGAAGATGGTTGAGAAGGAAAAGTGCTGTTTTTGCTGGATTTTTCTGTGTCACACCAGATGAGAGTGAGGAAGCAGCTCAAAGCAACAGCACTGATGCGGCCCTTCCATTTGAAAACCTTTCTGCTTTCAAAAGACAGATGAAGATTTACAGCCTTGGTGGAGGGAACGTTACATCCATCCTCTCCTTACTTAATCACAATGACCCAAAGAGAGCAGGAAAAAAACTTGAGACAATAATTGGAATGTACCCAGAAAACCTGACATGCAAGGACCTTGACCAGGCAGAACTGTCAAACTTCATCTTTTGCCAGATAGCTCTGAACTGTACTCTGCCTGGGTCTTCAAAGCTCCTGTCCCTTCAAAAGCTACAAGATCTCAGCAAGAGATTTACTACAAAAGGGAGAGACATGTCATCACCAAGCGCTCTCTTCCTTCTGTCCCTTCTCTTCTGGCCTGAGACGAGCAATGAGCTCAGTTCTGCTAATAGTCAGACCCTCTTGTCAGCCATTGACGCACTTCGGAGACTCTGTGAGCAAAAACGTGAACACAGGTCTACAAGGAAAAGCAGAGTCATGGTCCACTTCTTTCTGGGAAAGGCAAAAGGCCTTAACAAGATTGTCCACAGAAGTGCTATTGAAAAACAGATTGGGGGCACTCTAAATGAAAAAAACCTGAAATGGCGTGAAGGGGAAATATGGAAAACTAAGGACGTTGTGCAGTTACTCAAACGTGTTGAAGGATGGACAGAAAATGGAAACTTGTTTGTCCAAGGTGGAACCAGGCACAGCAAAATCAGGGTCTTTCCTCGGTACTCTGCCTCTCTTCCAAATGGAAATGAAAAGGTTACCTTCTACTTGGGCTTTTCATTTGATGGAGTGTTTGCCTTTGACATCCAACTAATGGAGTAATTTTCAGTGCACATGAAGCACCGCTCAACATTTGCTAATATCAGTGCTAAGCTCCAATGGACATTAGATGAGATTGTAAGAGATGAGGGCTGTGAGAAACCTTTGCTTGTTCCTCTTGGACATTGACATGTAAACCTAGTCTGCATTTGCTTGATTCACACATATGGTTTTGTAAAATAGGTCCAGGTCAAAGTAAATACATTCAGACAGAGTAAGAAATGCTGATTTTGAGTAGAACGGTCCAACACACACACATTATTTACATTTGAAAGAATTTTGAACATTGTTGTGTTTTCAGTTTATTCCAGTTTATAAAAAAAGCTGATGATTTTGTGATTATACTTCAGGGATTTTATGATAAAGTTAATTTGAGACAGTACCATTCTTGTGTAGGACATGTGTGATGTAAAATTTGTGTGATGTAAAATATATTCCACAGTTTGAATTACACAAGCATTTTGTATTTCCTTTTTGTTATTTGATCATCACACTTATCATTTTTCTATTTGTATTGTAATTACAGCCAGATCTGAACTAATAATTAATAAAAATGTGTTTATATTCTGAAAAGTGGAGAAATTAATCCCACTAAGTTGAAAAAAAAAACAGCCAAATGCCAGCATTTTGTGAATGAGCATAGTTTGAGAAATGCTGTTTCTCTGGAAATGATTTCAGCCAATAAATTTTCACAAACATCCATATAATATTGAAAGTACATGTAGCTCAGAGCCACTACAGCCTTTTCTACTTCTGCCACATCAGCTAACGAGTCATTGCCTGCAGCTGTCTGCCACAGGTGATTTGATTGGTCTGAAGTGGGAGGATTATCTGGACTGGCTCAGATCTTCTGTGTTTTATATGGAAGGGTGTATCATTATCTGTCTTACTGACTGGGTTGAGCAGGAGGTTTGTTCTGATTCATATTTCCAAAAGTCTCCTGTTTTTATGAGAGAAGTGCACAATGGTAATCGCAGGGCATTCGGCTTCTCTGGCGCTGCTGCTTTCACTTGCTTTTGGTGTTGCACATACCATTCGATCTTTGAAGGATGGACCCATGATTGATGCTGAAGGAAGACAATATAAATCTGCAGTGTTAACTACTGGAGAAAACAGTGGGTCAGACTCCAGTGATGAGACCGCTGTGCATGTCCGATGCACAGAAACATCCATGATCATTACGGTAAAGGCTGACCTGTTTAAATATGGACGTCTTGTCTCTGCTGGAGAGCTGTTTTTGGGAGAAGGTGAGCACACAGAGAGTAGTCAGTGCCAAGCTGTTGCAGTGACTGACACTGAACTTGTCATCGAAGCTGGACTGCAGGACTGTGGCTCCAAATTAACTGTAAGTTGTTTGTGCTTGACACAATGATGGGTTTTTCAGACGGTGCTGAGTTTCTAATGTGATTTATATTCCTCTCTAGATGTCTGAGGACTTTGTGACCTACTCCAACCAGCTGATGTTCTCACCTGCTACCAGTCACCATGGCGTTACCAGGATGATCCGTGCTGTAGTCCCTGTTAACTGCCACTATAAGAGGTGAAATTTCATTCACTGTTGATGTGAGGACATTTTTGTTTGACTTCTTCATAAAAGCTGACTTTCTGGGACAGGACGCACTTTGTGAGCAGTTACCCTCAGCAGCCTCTGGTCCTCTCCGCTTCTGCAAAGTATTCTGCTTTCTCCTTAAAGCTGATGACTGGTACGTGTGGACTCTTGCCCTTGTGGTTTATCCTGATAAGTGTGTGTGTAGTGATGTTTTCTGTACATGTAGGTGACTGGAGAAGTGAAATGTCTTCTACGTTTGAGACCTCCTGCACCTTGAGACTTCTTACACTGGTCCTGATGCAGAACAAAGACTACTCTTTGACAGCTACGTTGCCACTCTGACACCAGATGCAACATCAGTCCCCAGATACTACTTTGTTGAAAACTATGGGTAAGAGGTTCAGCTACATGTTTATGTGCCACTTGACTATAAATGAGCCACACAAATGTGACTCAAGCACAGGAATAAATCAGTCATTTGTAGTTGGATAGTGCATGCTGAGCTACTCCAATGGTCTTTGTCATCTCTGTGAAAATGATCTGCCAGATATGTCACCGATGCAAAAGAGGAAGGATCTTTAGAATATGTACATCAAAATATAGCCATGTTTTGCTATCCAAATGAAATTCATTTGCTTTGTGTTGAACCTGTCATATTGAAACAAGTACTTTAGTTTGTTGCCTTTTAAGGGATTGCCTATACATGTGTAATATAATAGACTACTGTTCAATCAGATAATGATGTGTACTCTTGGATATGATGGTGTTATGCTAAAGCTGGTCACTCCTTGAGCTGCACCCAGTCTGAAGAGGATACTGGAGACGATCAGGTCTGCTTTCTTTTTCTTCTGGGGCCTCTTTGTTGTCTGTTTTAGCAGATTTCTTTAATTCACTTTATCCTATTTAACCACTCTACTGTAGCTTTTAAATTTTTAATAAAGTACTCTACTTTCCTCGACTACAACCTGGGGAGAAAGGGGTTCCTGTGAGACCCCAAGGTACAGTAAGAGCCTCCTCCTTTCATGGTGGCCAGGTTCCAGATGTATCACTGTAGAATCCTTATCCTGGCAGGGATCGAGTGGATAAATACATCCCTGTAAGGTAGCGAGATTCCTTTTGAATTCTGCTGACCTACAGAGGTTTAGTTCAAGGTGGTATTTTAGTCAGCTGTTTGACAGCAGTGTGCTACAGTGTAGTCACATGTGATAAATGCATTAAGCTGCTAAAGTTAGAATAACTAAGAACATCTAGAAAACCACAATCACTTAAACAGTGCTGCTCACTGGAGCTTAAGGTACAGAAGAGAGATTATCCCAAGGGCATAGAAGCTTATGTGCTACGTGCATTAAAAGGCCTAATTTACTCTTGGATTAGATCCTCTTGGAC